CACAGCAAATTATCGTCATCAAATCACGTCAAGTTTATCCGCAAATTGTCATCAATAATCTCCAGCACCAACGTCATCAATCGCGATCATCTTTCCCATCACCATCATCATCATCATCACTGTCACCATATCATCAATCATTCTCTATCGCTGTCATTATCATCCAGAACCAAAATCAGAATCACCATCCACCACCATCATCATCATCATCAGCGTCCCCGCTAACATTAATATTACAACCACAATGCGTCACCATCATAATCATCATTACCACCGTCATCATTCCTGCCATCACCATCAGCATCACATTTAGTAATCATCAATGATCTTCAGCATTATCATCATCATCCATACCATACCATCATCATAAATCACTGTCACACATCATCACCATCAACGCGAAGCTATAAACCAACATCACCAACATCGTCATCAAAGACTAATTAGAGAGAATCCATTGAAATTGAGAGGAACAAGAATAACTTTAATCGCTCTGACAGCTACCGGCTTAGTGCGGCCTGGAAGCGTATTATTAAATAATACACATTACATTTTGATTTAAAGAATTACTAATCTACAACTCATTACTAATCATAACCAATGACTGATTACTAATCGATTATATAATTACAATACCCCCCTCCCTCCGCCTCTAATCACTGCACCTGATATGAGTTAAGTGATGACGTCACCCTGCTGCTCTATATAAAACCGGGAGCAAGCGAGGGCTTTACCATTCTGGCGAATTGCCCGATGCTGCTGGAAGTATTTACCAGCGAAACGTCACAGTACTCAAACTGTAAATGTGGATTAACTCTTCAACACACCGGTGGGCTGAAGTAGTGAATTATTTGTCTTTTGTCAACGTGACACTTTTTTTGCTGATTGGCCGTGTCGGGTGGTGGAGGGTTACGACACATTTATAAATAAACGCGATCTAACCCAAAAACCTTTATTATGAATCGTCATCAATCACCCGGCAGATCTCTCGCCTACTTCAGCAGTGTTTTCTTGCTGTGGTTGTCCCACCTGATGACGATTGCTTGTGTTGCGATCAAAAACGTCGTGATCTATTATTGTTCTACCCACGTGACTTTACCGAAAGAACCAAAGAGTATGGATTCCTGCAGTCACGAAAGCTTCAAATCAAGAGTTTACCTCCTCACCTGTTACTCCAGCCATGGTCGGTCAAGTGGCATTCTGTCATCAAGCAGCTTAATAGCAGCTGCTCGTCGATAGGGCTTGGTGCCAGACAGCGCCACACTGCCACAAAGTAAGGATCTAGAGAGGTCCGAGAGTACTTCACGTACGCCAGTCAGTATTTTAAATACATACGGAACCCGGGAGAGAAAGAGAGAGAGAGAGAGACAGAGGAAGATAGAAAACCACACGCACGAACGTCGGATAACAATGTTGTTGCAGATGTAATTGGGAACAGGATGAGGTTGCAATGGATGAGGGAAGCGTGCAGGATGGAGGAAGGCAGACACTGCTATTACGATCCTCAACACCGGTTGGCACTCCGCGTCTCTCCTTCTCTACATCACCCCCCCCCCTCCCCACTCCCGAGTGCGTTTCTCTCTTTCACTGGTGTGCGTGTTGCAACTCGCTGACCCACCCCCGACGGGACATCTGTGGGAAATAAAGAGCTTCATCGCCTTCTGGCGTCATTCTGGTCTAACACCGCCTGAGACGAGGCTCAAAAGAAAGCTGTCTCTGGTGCGTACCAATCAGTTTCAAAGACAATGCATATATCATGAGAGTATGGTTTGTTTTTGTTCGCATTCTGACCACAAGCATTGTGGTTAATGCAGACGCGATTCCTTGTAAAAAAAAAAGGTTTCAGTTTGGTGTTTTAACATCTTAACCACAGCTGTTTTGTTGCCAGAAAAAGGGTGGAAAACCCCATCATCATATTTTGGTACTGGCAAAGGAGGGACCCGTGAAGCTTCATAGCGCATCGGATTCCTCCAGTCGCAATGAAAGGTTCTGATTTCTGAGATGGACGCTTGGAGTGGCACACAGATGTCAGCGACCATCGAAGGGGATGTCCTACAATCAGATGATGATGATTATGATCAGACTGTAGGGAAGGGGGCCCTGGAGGTCAGGCATCGACTTTGCAAGTCACTGCGGAGTTCGGTGAGAAGGAAGCGATCGTGAGGTGCGGCGGCATCAACGGCATTGGCCGAGATAACCCCTTGACCTTGACGTCGCATTCAAGACTGCAAAACGGCCTGTGCACACACCGCTCATAGGTGATTCGGTCTTAAACCGCCAAATAATAACGGACCTCATTTACATGTATGGGCCACTTTGTGCAAATTGATTTGATGTATATATCAATATTTAATCAGCACATATCAGGCATGCAATTCGGACGAAAGAAAAATATATATTTTTTTTCTCCCCGCTGGGTGCAACAGCCCCCTAAAGCTCCGAAACACAACATGATCTAAACATTCCACGTTCATAAATCCCAACACTTGAGTCACACACGAAGACAAAGGTCCCCCCACGTAGAGCCTTAACCGACTGCTGGGGGCAAGTGTCGTTAGCGATCACCCATGATGGCTCACAATGGCAAGGGTGAGAACTTGACTTGCAGCGCGATCCCTCCGTGGAAACCTCAGCCGCTTTGGGACGTGCCCGTCGAGCGGAGGGTGTTCAAGTAAGGGGGCAATTCCAGAGACCTTCGCCTGTGCAAGGTTCTAACTTTGCCCCGTCTCCAGCGACGTGCGCGATGAAACGCATGAGAGAAATATCCATTGCATCGGAGCGGCGGTTAGCCACGTTCGTGATTGGAGACACCAAATGCGGACCCTCCTGAGAACACACCTGAATGTTGTTGTTCATGCGAGCGCAGAGTTCTTGCTAAGACCCCGGTGATGCCATCTATGTCTATCTTTTTATTATTATTATTTTACCAGGTTAAGGCCCACTGAGAGCTGTTTTCGCTCTTTTTTTCAGAAGCGACCTGGCCACAAATGATAGCTCGAGGAAGTGGCCTATCAATGTGGACATTTATAGCAGCCAAATACTCTTGGACGCGTGTTTTTTTTTTAATGCGGAGGGGGAAAACCGGAGGACCCGGAGAGAAAAAAGCACGCGACCACTGGGAGAGAAATGCAAACTCCAAGTATACATGGGGCAGGGTCGAGATTAAAACCCCCTCCTGTTTTCCGAACATAGATGGACTCGTCCATCTGAACAAACTGCCAAATCGCTGTCCGTGGTGCTAACGTTAAAAAAATAAAACCGCCACTTTTTAAAAATGTTCTTGCCGTGGTTTTCACACCTGATGATGATTGCTTGTGTTGCAGTCGAAACGTCGTGAGAATTTTATCGTTTTATACTTGTGTTATTTTATTGTTTCCCTTCTACGTGACTTTACCGAAAGAACCAAGAATACGGGCGAGGTAGTTCACATCCCTTAGCCACCGCAGCGACACGTCATTAAAAAAAAACGTTTATCAACGTTTTGCCAGCTTTGAAACGTGAAAAACCACGTTAAATGAGGGCATACTGTCCCCATGACGTTACAAATCGAGTTGCCTCTGTCGGATGGTGGGGGGTGATACCTACGTGACGATCTAACAAAAAAAGTATAAATCGTAACCCAACAGGAAACGAATTGCTTGTGAAAGCCCGCGAGTACAAATTTAACAAACCTTACGTGACGTTTTTTTTTTTTAAACGATTTCATTTTCCAAATGTGAAGCTCACCGAGCCACGAGCTCTTTTATCAGAGGCGACCCGGCCATACGTGATGACAGCTGGGCTCTTCGAAGTGGCTTATATCATCACACGACAGCCAAATAATCTATGCGCGAACGTTGCTTATAAATGTGGAGGATGACAAACCCAGGACGGACCCGGTGAACAATCCACAAGACCACCACGGGAAGAGAGAGAGAGACAGAGAGACAGCGATGAGCGAGGTAACACGCGACATACCAAATCGACAACAGGCATCGGTCAGGGTCCGGGATCGAACCCCAAGGGGCGACCTCGTTGCGTACCATTTGTACACGGTGCGAGTGGGAGCGTCGGGACGGTGTCCTTACCGACATGCAACCCCGCCTGCAGTTCCCGTGAGAGCGACGGCTCGATCGTGTTGTTATTGTTACAATGATGGGAATTTTCCTCCTTTGTTAAGGCGAGCCAGGCCAAAGTCGCAGGGACTGGTTGGTTGGTTTTTTTTGCAGGGAAGGCCCTCTGTTGTTAGATTGTTAGGTGTTAATTTAAAGATGTTTTCAGACAATTAACGAATGGATTTATTTTTTTACATTTTATTTTACTGACACGCGTGGGGGTGGGATTGGGGGAGATTTAAAAAAACCCGGAGCACACCTGGAAAAAGACCCCGCGCCTTGCGAGAGGGGGCAACGCTCTATCCCCCCCCCCCTCGCACGGACCGAAGTGGATGGCGGTGCGTCCCCTCGCTGCTAACAGCCTCCTGGTCGAGACGAGATTCGGAGCGCCTCGCTGTCGATGTCACACCGGCAGTTGCTCCCCTCCCACGCGACCCAACCTCGTACACCGTAGTTGTCCCACCTGATGACGGTTGCGTGTGTTGCGATCGAAACGTCGTGATCTATTATTTTTCTACCCACGTGACTTCAGCGACGGAAACCAAAGAGCACGGGATTCCTGCACTCACGAAAGCTTCAAATCAAGATCGAGCGCACAAAATGCCACCACGGCGCGGATTACCGCAGCAGATGACGACTACGCATCACGAGACTGGCAGCAGCAGCAGCAACAATCAACAACAACAACAACAGCCACGGTCACTCGCGCCTTCATCTCGGACCAAGCAGCGCCTCCGATTTCCTGGGTGGCCCAAGGGGTACCCCCCACACTCACGTCCGGGTACCCATCAGCGCTGGGTGACCCCCCCCCCCCACACACTCGCAGGGCCCCCCCCCCCACACTCACAGAGCCCCCCCCCCCCCCGCCCGCAGTCGCGACTGGCACACGAGGGCCCCGCCACTCACCGCTGGCAGTCACCGAGCTGTCCCTGCAGGGCGAGCAGCGATAGCGGCAGCAGCAGCAGCAGCGAGAGGCGCCGCATGGCTCCACGGGTAGCGGCGCGGTGGCTACAGCGACCGAGGCGATCGCCTCCTCCTCCTCCCTCCTCGTCCTCCTCCACGCCGCTCGGGCACACGCGAGGCTCCTCTTCGGCGTGAGCGCTGCTGCTGCTGATGACGATGATGCAGCAGCAGCAGCAGCAGCGGCTGCTGATGATTCTACTGCTGCTGCTGCTGATGATGATGATAATGCAGCTGATTCCGCCGCTGCTGCTGCTGCTGCGAAGCGGATGAAGCAACGGCACCGCACGTCTCCTCCTCCTCCTCCTCCTTCGCGACGGAGCTGTCGGCCGCGGAGTAGAAAGAACGAGGTGTCGTGAAGAGGTGACGGGCTGAAGAGGCGGTAGTTGGGAGTGTGAAGCGGAGGAGTGGAGCGAAGGAATGAAGCGGAGGAGAGAGGCAGAGGCAGTGGGAGGAGCCAGGGACGCCACGGAGCTGCAGTTGCGGCGTGCACGCAGAGATTTATGACAGAGGAGGAGGCAGCAGCAGCAGCAGTAGCAGCAGCGAGTGGACACGGCTCGCATCCCTAATGCGCAGGCCACTGCGAGTGGACACGCGCGAGTCGCCGTCTTCCGCAAGAGTTAGATCGCCTGGCTATTTTCACACGCGCACACACACACACACATATATAGTTTGTTTTTTAATTTGCGTGTTACATTTTTACATAGTTGGGTAAGGAAATTAATTAACCTGCTGCAGAGACCGCACGAGGAGTCACCGCTCAGCAGCAGCAGCAGCAGCAGCCAGCCACTGCGATGGTTCACGTGTTTTTATTCGATTTATTTCAGTCTTTGACAACAAGTGTCAACAAGCACTATTAGCCGTGCGGGTTAATTAAATGGGGAGGAAAATATTTCGGACGTTTGTGAAAGGATAACTTGATAATATAAGCAACGCGCAAAAAAAAAACTGGTTTCGCAGATTATAATGAAGTAGTCCTGCATACGGACTATCATTAAATTCAGAAAATTATCTTATTGTTTAAGCAGCGATACGCTGCACATTTCCATGAACTCAGCATAAAGTAGTGATCGGTAGTTTGTAGAATAGTGCTATGATTAAATCTGTAATGGACTAGAAAATTCATCAGTTGTTGTCCAATGAAGAGCAGTGGCTTTTTCCCACACCTACTGACGGACACTTGTATTGCTGCGCCCGAAACGTCGTGATTTATTTCATTTTATACCGACGTGACTTTACCGAAAGAACCAAAGCGTCAAGAGCCGTGGCATTTGCACCATCTCCTCGCCACCGTGGCAGAGAGACCAGTCCACGCAATGTCTCGCCTCTTCCGAATGGACGAGAAGATTCCCGTTTACGCGTCGGCGCTTAAAATCACGTGCGCCAGATGCAAAATCACGTGCGCCAGATGCAAATCCTCGGAAGCTCGGGGCCCCATCAGCACGCGAGTCACACGCCAACCTCCGCCTTTGATCAATGCAATGGCAGCGACTTCACAACGCGAGCTACGATTTGCCGATAGCCACGGACAGCAGGAAGGGGTAAAAACTCCGTGGTAGACACGGAGAGATGAGAAGATGCGTGGACGATTAAACTGGTGGACACGCGGGGAGACGCGGAGAGATACGAACATTGGACGCAAATGTGGGTAATGTGTCGAATGACTCATAAATCCATGCAAAAGACCTCCGGAGGACAGGGGGACAGGGACAGCGAAATGGAGACACGGAGGGAGAGAGAGAGCGAGAGAGTGATGGTGCAAGGAATACATCAAGAAAGCGAATTGGAGACAAGGGTCTGTGAAACGGAGAGAGCCCGTGAAATGGACGTGGGGGGAAAACATTTTTTGGGAGAACCGCGGAGAGAGAGAGAGAGCCAAGTGAAATGGAGAGTGAGAGACACGGGAGCTGTGACGGACAGCGTTACCGCCTGCCCCAATGGAACGAGGACCGGGGGCAGGGCGCCGCAGCCCGATCCAGTGACTACAGAAGACCGACTGCCCCACCTGCTGTTTGATATTGTTTTGTTAAAGGGGTTACACTGTCAGAGGGCACTCCGTACCGCGGACGTGGTGAATCTTTACCATCGACCATCCACCCACAAGTCGTCCCTTGCCCCACTGGAGCTGACCTGCACCGCTGACCACACTCACCTGGTGTCACGCAACACTCACCTGGTGCCATTCACTACTCACCTGGTACCGCTCACAATTCACACGCTCACCTGGCACCGAACGCCAGACGCCGCTCACCTGGACCCAATCATCAGGCACCACTCACAATTCACAACGAGCGCTTACGTGTTGCCAATCACCAGGGCATCACTCACCTGGACCCAATCACCAGGGCATCACTCACCTGGACCCAATCACCAGGGCATCACTCACCTGGACCCAATCATCAGGCACCACTCACAATTCACATTGAGCACTTACCTGTTGCCAATCACCAGGGCATCACTCACCTGGACCCAATCACCAGGGAATCACTCACCTGGACCCAATCATCAGGCACCACTCACAATTCACACTGAGCACTTACCTGTTGCCAATCACCAGGGCATCACTCACCTGGACCCAGTCATCAGGCACCACTCACAATTCACATTGAGCACTTACCTGTTGCCAATCACCAGGGCATCACTCACCTGGACCCAATCACCAGGGCATCACTCACCTGGACCCAATCATCAGGCACCACTCACAATTCACATTGAGCACTTACCTGTTGCCAATCACCAGGGCATCACTCACCTGGACCCAATCACCAGGGAATCACTCACCTGGACCCAATCATCAGGCACCACTCACAATTGACACTGAGCACTTACCTGTTGCCAATCACCAGGGCATCACTCACCTGGACCCAATCACCAGGGCATCACTCACCTGGACCCAATCATCAGGCACCACTCACAATTCACATTGAGCACTTACCTGTTGCCAATCACCAGGGCATCACTCACCTGGACCCAATCACCAGGGAATCACTCACCTGGACCCAATCATCAGGCACCACTCACAATTCACACTGAGCACTTACCTGTTGCCAATCACCAGGGCATCACTCACCTGGACTCAGTCATCAGGCACCACTCACAATTCACATTGAGCACTTACCTGTTGCCAATCACCAGGGCATCACTCACCTGGACCCAATCACCAGGGCATCACTCACCTGGACCCAATCATCAGGCACCACTCACAATTCACATTGAGCACTTACCTGTTGCCAATCACCAGGGCATCACTCACCTGGACCCAATCACCAGGGAATCACTCACCTGGACCCAATCATCAGGCACCACTCACAATTCACACTGAGCACTTACCTGTTGCCAATCACCAGGGCATCACTCACCTGGACCCAGTCATCAGGCACGACTCACAATTCACACTGAGCGCTTACGTGTTGCCAATAACCAGGGCATCATTCACCTGGACCCAATCATCAGGCATCACCCACAATTCACACTGAGCACTTACCTGTTGCCAATCACCAGGGCATCACTCACCTGGACCCAGTCATCAGGCACCACTCACAATTCACACTGAGCGCTTACCTGTTGCCAATCACCAGACGCCACTCACCACTCGACAATTCACGCTCGGCACCACTCACAGGCCGTGGCAGAGCAATCTTCTTCCTGTCGTACGGCTGCCGATGTGAGATGCAGAGCAACGGACTGCAGTGCCACATTAGGGTGGTCAAGCCCAGATCAAATCCGCTTCAGGAGCAGTCCATCTGCGCATCAGTGCATCCGCATCTACTGTTTTGGTGTGTGCAGTGGATGCTGTTTAGGGGGGGGGGGGGGGGGGGTGGACTGTGAGCTTCGTGAAAGATCAAACCCCAGGGGGATCTTCTGCGTTGGGTCTTACACAAGGCGTGTGTTTGCGAGTTGTTTTTGAACTCGCCCGTTCAGCCCTCCAAACTTCGTCGGAGTTGAACTCGCATTGTTGAAGGTTCAGTGTTGAGTGGGTTGTGCGCGTTCGTGTGTGTGGTAGAGCACAGTTGGCATAGCGGGGGGGGCTCAGGTGGTGCATCGGCCAGTCATCTCAGTCAGTCGGCCCGTGGCACCTGGGTCCAACCCCGCGACCTCCTGCCAGCGGGCGTCCCACGCTTCACGTGGCCTTAAAGTGCACCTAGCCTGGCACAAGGCACCGTGGTGACGTCAACCCGTGGCACTTGGGTCTAACCCCGTGACCTCCTGCCAGCGGGCGTTCCACGCTTCACGTGGCCCTAAAGTGCACCTAGCCTGGCACAAGGCACCGTGGCGACGTCAACACATGGCACCTGGATCCAACCCCGTGACCTCCTGCCAGCGGGCGTTCGACGCCTCACGTGGCCTTAAGGTGCACCTAGCCTGGCACAAGGCGCCGTGGTTGGCTGCTGCTGTTGATGTTGCAGAGCAACAGCGCCGCGTGACCGCAAGGCGGCACAGCGCTCATTGCTGTGCGGCCGTTTGCGGCCCCATTGGATTCCGTGGAGCACAAAAACCGCGACACGCTTACAACGTGTCTACATTATAGACTGTCAGTACACTCTGTTCAAGATCCAGGCTACAGTCTACATTATAGACTGTCAGTACACTCTGTTCAAGATCTAGGCTACAGTCTACATTATAGACTGTCAGTACACTCACTCTGTTCAAGATCCAGGCTACAGTCTACATTATAGACTGTCAGTACACTCACTCTGTTCAGGAACCAGGCTACAGTCTACATTATAGACTGCCAGTACACTCTGTTCAGGAACCAGGCTACAGTCTACATTATAGACTGTCAGTACACTCACTCTGTTCAAGATCCAGGCTACAGTCTACATTATAGACTGTCAGTACACTCACTCTGTTCAAGATCCAGGCTACAGTCTACATTATAGACTGTCAGTACACTCTGTTCAGGAACCAGGCTACAGTCTACATTATAGACTGTCAGTACACTCACTCTGTTCAGGAACCAGGCTACAGTCTACATTATAGGCTGTCAGTACACTCACTCTGTTCAGGAACCAGGCTACAGTCTACATTATAGACTGTCAGTACACTCACTCTGTTCAAGATCCAGGCTACAGTCTACATTATAGACTGTCAGTACACTCACTCTGTTCAGGAACCAGGCTACAGTCTACATTATAGACTGTCAGTACACTCACTCTGTTCAAGATCCAGGCTACAGTCTACATTATAGACTGTCAGTACACTCACTCTGTTCAAGAACCAGGCGACAGTCTACATTATAGACTGTCAGCACACTCTGTTCAGGAACCAGGCTACAGTCTACATTATAGACTGTCAGTACACTCACTCTGTTCAGGAACCAGGCTACAGTCTACATTATAGACTGTCAGTACACTCACTCTGTTCAAGATCCAGGCTACAGTCTACATTATAGACTGTCAGTACACTCACTCTGTTCAAGAACCAGGCGACAGTCTACATTATAGACTGTCAGTACACTCTGTTCAGGAACCAGGCTACAGTCTACATTATAGACTGCCAGTACACTCTGTTCAAGAACCAGGCTACAGTCTACATTATAGACTGCCTGTACACTCACTCTGTTCAAGAACCAGGCTACAGT